CTTATGTTTAGTATATTTTTTATATATCTCTCTTGCTAGTTCCGCATTCCCTTTAGTATATTTTTATATTTTTGTATATTTACTAAAGTTCCAGTTGTATATTTATCCTAATCTCTACTTCTTCTATTTCTTGTCTAATGTTTTCCATTTTGTCGCTAGCCACCTAGACTTAGTTCCATATTTTGTATAAGTCCTTAAGTGTAGGCGGTTTTAAGGATAGGGTTTCCAGTTGGGTATGAGTAAACACAAGGTACGTGAAAACATGATAAGACTTGAAGAATTCAACTATTTTAGGATTAGTGTATAAATCTTAAAATCATGAGTCGATTATTTAGAAGTAATTCCTCAGTTAGTTCTAGATCTACAGCATTAGCTCCCATACCTAATACGGTAGTAAATGAAGAAGAACGTGAATTTCAAGATTTAAAAATAGATTTTGGATGGAACATACCAAAAGTACCGATCAAAGAAATTTATAAAACAAGTTTTCTTAAATCTTCTTTCAACATTGATTTACAAGTAAAAACTGTCAAAAAAGTTTATGCCATAACAAAAGTGTATGAAACATGTCAAGTATTAACCAAAGAATCTATTAAAAAACATAGATCTGCTGGTCACAATTTTATTCATGCAAGATTAGTACAAGTTGCAGTCAAACCACTATCTATTAAAGGAATAAATTCATCAATATTATTATGTCTTAGAGTTGCTAGATTCAGAAAATACCACACTAGTATGCTAGGTATGATGGAATCTGGTTTACATCAAGATCCAAATCATTTTAATTGCTTTCCTGATTTCACTTTAAGTCTTAGTGATCCTCACATTTTAAAAGCTCTAACTTTAAATATTCAAATTTCTAGTGAATTTACTGATATGTTCGATGGTGCCCACTCTATTGCTTTAATATATTGTATCTAATATAAATGCATAAGAACCAATCTCAATGTACATGCTTTAGACAAAAGCCCCAAGGATAAAATATTGCTTATTTAAGGTAGTACTGTTGATGTTAATATTGAAGTACTAAAAACCATACTTTGGAAAGATATAACTCTTCCAGAAAAATGGCTTACTGTCAATGAAAACTATTCTCATAAAAATCAATATGATAGTAATGATTTACATCATATCCAACAGTATGTTGATGGATCAGTCCACATAAGTTTTGATCATTTAAGTTGTAGTCAATCTTCACGTCATAGTATATGTAGTCAACCCAATGAAGAAGAAGAAATTTTTAGTACACCTTTATTTACTAGAAAAAATAGAAACCTCCTAACTCATCAAAGTAAATTAAAAGGTAGAGACACTTCTTCCTCATCTCAAATTAGTAAGCCAGTTTATTCAACACAAACTCATATTCATGACACTGAACTAGTATTTACCATGTATTTTAAAAGGAATGCAGAACTTTTAAAGGGAATACAGAACTAAGAATTTAATAGAGTAGTATAAAACTAGACTAAATAAACAGAAAAGCATAAAAACTAAATAAATTTTTAATCAAAACAAAATACAGATTAAAATAGACTGAAATAAGAGTAACTTACAATTGTTTATTGTTTACTGGAAACTGGAAATCATTACATCAAAATACAAGTTCTTCAAAATACAGATTACAAAATAACAAATTACAATGAGAGAGTTTTTGAGAGAAATCTCCAAAATTTCGAGTGTCCTCTTAAGACTGAGGAGTTCCCTTTTTATAAAGATGCAGGTGACTTGAATTGCTCCCTTCCCCTTGGAAAAATTCATGGGCCAGAAAAAGCCAAATGTGAACTATGTAGTCACATGGGTTTTGGTTACTGTTGTGAAAGGTCGCGAGGTCTGTTTTTACTTTTTAAGGTGAGCGACTGAAAAGACCATTTTTACGCTTTTTTTTATTAATCAAAAGCTAGAGAGGCATGATTATCATTGTGACTGATTGGGAATTCGAATATATTCATAAGCAGCTTTTCTCAAAAGGAGAGTATTGATTGAAACTTTTGAATATATTTGGTATCCAATGTTGATGATTGTGTTAAGAATATGGGTTATGAGCATCTTGGTATTGGGAGCCATATGGATCATGACTAGTAGAGGCTTCAGAAGAGGCTGATCCATTTGAAGTATTCTCTTCATCTCGTGACTTGGCTTGGGCCAATAGTAATTTCACAATCTGGATAAGTTCTTTATTGTTTGTTTTTTACTTGGGCTTTGTTTTGGGCTTTGACTTGGATGACTTGGATTTGGGAGGCCCATAGCTGGCTTTTGGGCCTCCAAGTCTAACTGTTGTGAGAGGAAGTGGGCTTCCTTGAGTGACTGAGACATTTGGGTTCTACTGAGAAGACTTGACCATTACTGGAGTAAGAACATAAATATTGACCTAAAATTCTCTTTAGACTTGATCAATAATGTGATGGGCTTTAAATGCATCCCGCCATTTAACAAAATGCTGTCTAATGACTATGTTATCTTCAATATGATATTGACATTTGAATATCCAAGGAACTTTATATTTGGATATGAAATAGAGCAATATTGGAAATTGACTCTTGTGTTGACTCAATTTATAGACTGTTGAGAAATGAGTGACTTGATCTATGAGGTTTGAGGGGATGATTTCTGGGATGGCACCATGTTGAAACCACCATCTCAAAAACCAAGAAGGAAATTCTGACTTGAATTGATGATCAAAGGAGAAAAACCAAGAGTGACTGTATGTTTCACTTTGATACAAGAGGACTTTGAACCATGCATCAATATAATCAAAATAACTATATTGCATCGTATAATTAGAAAGATCTCGCAACAAGATTGGGAGACCCTATTCATCAAGAGATACAATGTTGTGTATATATAAAGAATGGTAAATGATTTTACTGGTATTGACTCTGTCATAAATGGGTTTAATGACTATGGACTTACGATAGAAAATGATATCTTTGTTGAAGGTGATTGACTTTTCTGGATAAGATGGAATGAAATGCCAATTAGGAGGGAAATAGGTTTTGCCTAAGTCAATGACATTATGACTGTTTTTGTGGACCGGTTCTTTGTAAACAAGTTTAGGTGATTGAGTTTTAAGAACATAATATGTTCTTGATGTTGACCGATTTGGATAATTAGGAGGCATGAGTGTGAGTGATTGGGAAGCAAAGGGGTCAGAGGAAAGAGCAAAGGTGTAACTAGGTTTAGGAATATTACCAAGAATTTGGTATCTGTTGACTAGATTAATTAGGGGTACAACAATGGGTTGACTAGTTGGAATAATAGCAAGTGGTTTAGAGGAAGGCTTCTGACTTGACATCTGTAATTAAGAAAAAGAAAATAGGTTAGCATCCATTGAGGACAATTAGCCTATCTGTATCGAAATTGAGAAGATTCGTGTAATGAGCAATTAAATTGCGTCGGCTAGCAATTTGGTGAAATTGAAGGAAGGGATCTTGGTCAATTGACTTTAAGTAGGCCATTTCAAAGGTATAATGGCAAATAATTTTGCGATAACGGGTGATTTGTAGTCTGTGGGCAGAACAATATGGAGTGGGCATTTTTACTATGAAATTCATAATATAAATATACTTATGACTTTCTCTGTCCACCTTGTAAGAATTCACGGGTAAAAAAAATCAGGGATAGAGTTTTGATTACCAGAAATATATTCAATATCAAAATCAAATATATTTAAAATATATTGCCAACAGGCAAAAATATGTTTACTAGCAATGTTTTGAACATCTTTTTCTAAAACATATTTTGCACTCTTACAATCAACGCGTACTAGAAATTGTTGATTTAAAATACCATCTTGAAATTTACTAATACATAATACAATAGATAAAATTTCTTTTTTAATTTTACTATAATTTTTCTGTGCTTTGTTCTAGATACCAAAGTGAAAACGAACAATTTGTTCAGATGAATTGGGATGGACTTGCTGAAGGAGGATGCCACCATAACTAATGTCAAAGGCATCAGTTTGAATAATTTTGAATGAATCTTCAATAGAAATACCAAGACAAGGTAAAGTCTTGACATATTTTTTTTACTTGTTAAACAATAGTAGTATGATTAGGAGACCAAGGAGGAGAATCATCTTTCAAACGATCAAAAAGAGGTTGACAAATTTTTTTAAGGTTTTTATAAAATTTAACAATGTAATTAAAGAATCTTAAAAATCTTTGTAATTGGGTTTTGTCTAAGATTTCATCAGGAAACTTAAAAACAAATTCAATAGATCGACTTATGAGAATAATAGTATTTTGGTAAACTTCATAACCTAAAAATCTGACTTTAGTTTGGAACCATTTAATTTTGAGGGCAGAGATAACTAGGCCATTATATTTGATGGTTTGGATGTATGATTGGAGGTGTTTTCAATGTTCTTCAATTGATTTGGAAATAATGAGAATATCATCTATGTAGACTATAGAAAAATGACTAATGGGATTGAATATTTCATTCATTATAGTTTGGAATTCGTTAGGTGCATTTTTTAAACCAAAGAGTATTACATTTCATTCGTAATGGCCAAAAGGTGTAGTGAAAGCAGTTTTGTAGCGATCATTAGGATGGATTTGGATTTGCCAAAATCCACTTTTAAGATCGAATTTACGAAAGATGACTGCTTGAGTAAGCCTTTTAATTAAATCTTTCTTATTAGGAATTGAATATCTTATCCATTCTAAAACTTTATTTAGTGGTTTATAATTTATGACTAAACGTGAAACACCACATTCAAGTTCAGCATTTTTGTTAACATAAAAAACTGGACATGACCATGGTGATTTACTTTTACCAATGATTTTATTTTTAAGCAAATCATTGATTTCTTTTTTAAACAGTTCCATTAATTCAGTGTTCATTTGATCACCAAACCTTTTTTTTTATTTTTTATTTTCCTCCCAAATTCACTAACGGTTTCCACTAAACGTTCCACTAATACGAGTCCATGTCCTCTAATCCAAAGGCGTCGATGACACGCTATTCGCTCCACGCGTTTTCGCCGTTACGACCCTTCACCCACCTCACCTCCCCACATATATCCTCTCCCCTCCATTCTCTCTCATCCCCAATATCTCTCTCTCCTCGCCGGAACATTTTCTTCTAGGGTTTCTTTCTTCAATCTATATATTGCCTCATATTACATTTTAATTGATCTGATCGGTGTTGATTTAGGTTAGACATTCAATATCCGAAGAAGATTGGTTGAAATTCTGAATTTTTGTGGGTAATCTTTCAGATTCTTGAGGAAAAGATTTGATTTTTTTGGGGCGAATTCGTTTCGTTTTCAGGATCTGCAAGAAGACAAATTCTAGGGTTTGTATTTGTATGTGTATTGATGTCTTCGGCGGCATCGTCTTCGTACTGGTGCTACAGATGCAATCGATTCGTTAGGGTTTCTAACCCGGACTCGATTTCTTGTCCCGATTGCGACGGAGGCTTCGTCGAGGAAATCGGTACTCCGCCGAGATCTGCTCTCTCGGATTCTCGGCGACGTCGTTTTCCGGCTGCGGCGATGTATATGGTTGGAAATGGCCGGAATTCGGATCAGGGTTCGAGTCCGGGTCTTCGTCGGAGCCGAAGGAACGGTGGAGATCGCTCGCCTTTCAATCCTGTGATCGTGCTTCGTGGCCCTTCCGATGGCGGCGTTTCTGAAGCCGCCGCCGCCGGCGGTGGGTTTGAGTTGTATTATGACGACGGAGCCGGGTCGGGGCTGAGGCCGTTACCGGCGAGTATGTCGGAGTTTTTGTTAGGGTCTGGTTTCGATCGGCTTTTGGATCAATTGTCCCAAATTGAAGTCAATGGAATTGGGCGTGTTGATCATCCACCAGCTTCCAAGGCTGCGATTGAATCAATGCCCACAATTGAGATCATTGAAAGCCATATAACCACTGAATCATGCTGTGCTGTTTGCAAAGAACCCTTTGAATTAGGAATCGAAGCTCGTGAAATGCCCTGTAAGCATATATACCATTCAGATTGCATACTTCCTTGGCTTTCTCTTCGCAATTCTTGCCCTGTTTGTCGCCATGAATTGCCCTCTGATAATAATAGAAACTCTGTCTCTGTTGAGTCAAATAGAGGACAAAACGATCAGACCCAGATGGGAAACGATGATGAGACTGTTGGGTTAACTATATGGAGGCTGCCTGGTGGTGGGTTTGCTGTTGGGAGGTTTGCTGGAGGGAGAAGAGGCGGCGAGCGAGAGCTTCCGGTTGTTTATACAGAGATGGATGGAGGTTTCAATAACAATGGAGCTCCGAGAAGGATTTCGTGGGCATCCAGAGGAAGTGTGTCGAGAGAAAGTGGTGGATTGCGGCGGGTTTTCCATAACTTGTTTGCTTGTTTTGGGGGTGTTGGTTCTTCAGCCTCTAGTTCTAGTTCAGATTCTCGGCTAAGTCGCAGAAATAGTTCCCGATCTTCCAGTTATCGTAGTGGTTCCCTTCGGAGGCCCTGGCATCAGGCAATGGGATTTTAAATGTTTGGAAATTTTAAGGTGGAAGAAACCTTGTGATTGCCTTTGTTTGATGATCCTACTATTATCGGTTTATAACTGGATAACTCTGTTTTTTCAAAAGGAAATGTATGTGGAAGTGGAAATCACAGTTACCCATTTGCTGTAAATACCGATATATGAAACGAAAATTTGAACTTTGGGATGATATAGACTTTCAATGAACTGCGTTTCTGTTTTGGCAATTGAACAAGGACTATGAAGCAAAAGAAGATGACTCCAAAGAATGGAATTCTGGCATAAGAGTAGCCCTTTCAGGGAATTGAGAAGAAGGTACATGGCCTCATGTACCGGTATGCCTATGAACTTAAGAGTAGCTGCAGTTTATATTGGTTTTCTTTTTCTTTTTATTTTCCCGTTTTCTTTTATGCCATTTCCAATTTGAACTTTGCTCTAATTTCCTGTCTTTATGTTCAGTCATTTATTTTTCAAAAAAATTATAAAGTGTTATATTCAACTTGTGAAATTTGTTATTTGACCTCTTGTGTCTCTATATGGCTTATTGGACATATCTGGTTTGATTCTGGTACTCTTTTATGTTTTATTATACAATATGTCTTATCTAGAATATCAAATGATCTGGTAATTAATTGGTTCTTCAGAACATGAATTTCCCATCAAATTCTTATGAAATGTACTTACTTTGAGATGCGTGTGTGTCTGCACATTTTGTGGATGCATGAACTTGCATAATTAGGTTTGAAAATTAGTTGTTTAAGGAGGCTTGGTTGGGAGTTAGAATATTCTTTATTGTTGAGTGTATTCTCTACCTAAGGGATGACGATCATCTGGCAGGTTTCAGTCATAGTTTTGTTAAATATTACATAATATTCATTGCATGCTCCAAATGGTTGAGATTGCAAATATAAACTAAAGATATGATTTGATTGGTTAGAGCATCTCCAATGGTTGTTGCTATTGCCATTGCTATAATTTGACAATGAATAGTGTTATTTTGCCAAATTATAACAATGGTGCTCCAATTGTCATTTGTTATTTTGCCAAATCTCAACGAACTTTCCTTCCAAATATGTAGGTGTTGTTTGGATTAAGGTTTTTTTGTGATTTTATTTTTGTTTATTTTTATTTTTTGTGATCTTTTTTTAACTGTTTGTAAGAAAAATTATATATTTATATTATTCCCGACTAGACAAATATAAAATTTGAAAAAATTTGAAAAATTGAGAAAAAAATATAATTATTGTCTTTTTATTATAATAAAATTATCTTCATTTATTAATATATTTTATCTTTCTATTGCCTTCATTTCAAAAAATATATTTATTTTTTTATTATACTTTATTGAAAATTATAAATTATACTAAAAATATATTTTTTCATTAAAAAAATATATTTATCTTTATATCAAGCTGATATCAAGTTCCAGAATACTCTTCCTCTCTCTTTCACACATCCCATTGCAAGGTCACACATCTCTATTCCATTGCAAAGTCTGTCTCTCCCTCGCTCTCACCTTCTTTCTCTCATCCCATTAAACCCTCTCTCTCTCTCTCTCTCTCTCTCTCTCTCTCGGTCTCCATTGATGAAACCGGAGCTTGGTTTCAGTCACCGATCTATATCTCTTTCCGTCTCTCTCTGTCTCAGTCTCCATCAATTAAACCGTCTCTCTCTCTCTCTATATCTCTTTCCGTCTCTCTCGGTCTACATTGATGAAGCCGAAGCTTGGTTTCAATCACCAATCTATATCTCTTTCCGTCTCACCAGCTTGATTTGGACTCTCGATTTCAATCACCGATCAAGGTATGATATATTTATTTTTTTATTTTTTTTATATCAATCTATTAGAGTAAAAATCAAACCTTTCAGATCCTAATGAAGATACATCTATCATTGATTTTGTTGAATGTTGTTTGAATGTTGTTGTTGCTTGAATGTTGTAGTTGTTGTTGTTTGAAAATTTTTGTTTGAATGTTGTTGTTGTTTTAGTGAAATTTTGTTTTAAAAAAAAAAATTTGTTGTAAAAAAAAATTGTGAATTTTGCAAAATGAAAAATTGATCTGTTTTTGTTTGAGTTTTTCTACAAACGGATAAGAAAGGGAGGGAGGGAAAGAAGAAAATCAGTTGGTTTGGGGTGAGCTGGTAGCTTTGCCATTTGCCAAAGTTGTTGTCAAATTTGGTAACAACTTTGGCATTTGCCATTTTTAACAGCTGCTATATCTCACAATTGGAGAACCTCTTTTTTCTCAAAACTGTTATATTATAGCTTTGGCAGCTCCAATGGCAAACCATTGCCCTTCCCAAACCAAGCTTTTAAGCCCAGGCTAAAATAGCCAAAAAAGTCAAAAAGCCAAAAAGTCAACCCACTTCCCAAACGGAGGCTAAATATTACATAATATTCATTGCATGCTCCAAATGGTTGAGATTGCAAATATAAACTAAAGATATGATTTGATTGGTTAGAGCATCTCCCGTTGTTGTTGCTATTATCATGGCTATAATTTGACAATAAGTAGTGTTATTTTGCCAAATTATAGCAATGACGCTCCAATGGTCATTTGCTATTTTACCAAATCTCAACGAACTTTCCTTCCAAATATGTAGGTGTTGTTTGGATTAAGGTTTTTTTGTGATTTTATTTTTGTTTATTTTTTATTTTTTGTGACCTTTTTTTTTAACTGTTTGTAAGAAAAATTATATATTTATATTATTCCCGACTAGACAAATATAAAAATTAAAAAAATTTGAAAAATTGAGAAAAAAATATAATTAATGTCTTTTTATTATAATAAAATTATCTTCATTTATTAATATATTTTATTTTTTTATTGCCTTCGTTTCAAAAAATATATTTATTTTTTTATTATACTTTATTGAAAATTATAAATTATACTAAAAATATATTTTTTCATTAAAAAAATATATTTATCTTTATATCAAGCTGATATCAAGTTCCAGAATACTCTTCCTCTCTCTTTCACACATCCCATTGCAAGGTCACACATCTCTATTCCATTGCAAAGTCTGTCTCTCCCTCACTCTCACCTTCTTTCTCTCATCCCATTAAACCCTCTCTCTCTCTCTCTCTCTCTCTCTCTCTCTCTCTCTCTCGGTCTCCATTGATGAAATCGGAGCTTGGTTTCAGTCACCGATCTATATCTCTTTCCGTCTCTCTCTGTCTCAGTCTCCATCAATTAAACTGTCTCTCTCTCTCTCTCTATATCTCTTTCCGTCTCTTTCGGTCTCCATTGATGAAGCCGAAGCTTGGTTTCAATCACCAATCTATATCTCTTTCCGTCTCACCAGCTTGATTTGGACTCTCGATTTCAATCACCGATCAAGGTATGATATATTTATTTTTTTATTTTTTTTATATCAATCTATTAGAGTAAAAATCAAACCTTTCAGATCCTAATGAAGATACATCTATCATTGATTTTGTTGAATGTTGTTTGAATGTTGTTGTTGCTTGAATGTTGTAGTTGTTGTTGTTTGAAAATTTTTGTTTGAATGTTGTTGTTGTTTTAGTGAAATTTTGTTTTAAAAAAAAAAATTTGTTGTAAAAAAAAATTGTGAATTTTGCAAAATGAAAAATTGATCTGTTTTTGTTTGAGTTTTTCTACAAACGGATAAGAAAAAAAAATTGTGAATTTTGCATAATGAAAAATTGATCTATTTTTGTTTGAGTTTTTCTACAAACGGATGAGAAAGGGAGGGAGGGAAAGAAGAAAATCAATTGGTTTGGGGTGAGTTGGGAGATTTGCCGTTTGGCAAAGTTGTTGTCAAACTTGGCAACAACTTTGGCATTATATCTCATCATTGGAGAACCCTTTTTTCTCAAAGTTGCTATATTATAGCTTTGGCAGCTCCAATGGCAAATCATTAGAGATGCTCTTAGTCAAATGTAAGAACTAGGATGATTTCCGGAATCTTTTTAGAAAAAAGATTAGTTAAGAAGAAGAAGAAAAGAGGGAGGCATTCCGGAAAAGTGTAGAACTCTAAGGCCCCATTTGGCAAGATGGTCGGGGCTAATTTTGGCTACTGAAAGACAAAATATATTAAAAAGTCAATAAGACAAAATGTTACATACAAATCATAATCTTTTTATTTTTTTCTCTCACACAACTACAAAAAAGCCTAAAGTTCATACCAAACGGAATTTTTTTAATCAAGTTAAAATAGTTAAAAAGTCAGGCTAAAATAGTTAATTCCCAAACGAAATCTGATAAACATAATACTAGCAAAAAAAATTGACAATTAAGAAAAAAAAGGCCTACCCACATAGGGGTGATTTCTGGGATTAGATCCTAAGGAACTGAGACTCCAGAGGTCACCCTTAGGTTGTGTAGCAAGGCTACTCAACTAGATGATAGCAGAGCCTATAACAAGCTGTTGGGGGAATGAATGGATTGGTCCCTCTGTAGTCTATAGAGAGACTGACACATTGATATCGTGTCGTGTCTTATTGTGTTAGAATTTTCTCAATACTAATTCATTTATTTTTTTGTATTGCCGTATCATGTCATTTTAAATTTGTGTCTAATTTTTGTTAGTGTTTAACGTGTTATACTAAAAAATTCCAATTTTAGTTTAAAATACTAAGCATACAAACATAATTGTTTTCCTCCGTGAAAAAAAAATGTTAAAATTATTCACAAAAATGTTTAATTTCAACTGAATTTCAATTTTTTTAACTTAAAAAACTAAAACCCTGTTATTTATTTATATTTTTGTTTATTCCAAAGATAGTGAATGAAAGTATTCAGATTAATAAACAAAATGACTACATTAATGTTAAAATTATATCTTTCATATTTTTTAAGGTAATTGGATGGGATTACATCAAATGATTTGAACACGATATGAATCTTTTTAAGGGTTCGACACTAAATCTGCCATGTTTAATAGTTATCATAATTAGATTTTGTTTGAGATGTGAGTTAACCTTTTGGTTTTTAATTATTTTAGTCTAAGATTAGAAAGTCTCGTTTAAGATAGGTTTTTTAACTTTTATAAGAGAAAAAAATAAAATGATTATGATTTGAATATGACATTTTTTATTCTATTTGGTTAAAATAACCAATTTTATCCCATATGATTATTTTAGCCCAAATAGACATGCCAAACATAGCCTTAATTAGATTCATGTCAAAAAAATAATCAATCTTATCTCGCTAAGATTAGGTCGAGTTGTGGGGGAGAAATTTCAACCTTACGTCATTGAGCACGTTTTTGTGAATTAAAGTCACTTTTACTGGGGCAATTCCTATGGGATAAAAATAAAATAAACAGAGACAATGAGTGATATTTTGAGAACCTAATTTTAGCAAATACCTTTGGTTAATTATAGCCTTTGTGATGGTTGGCCTCTCATCAAAATTCAACCGAATTGAGAAAAAAAGCTTGAATGGTGGAACACGTAAGATGTTTTCTAGCCGTTGCATTTTTCAAAAAAAATTTGCCAACTTTCACATGCATATACATATATATAGATATCAAAGCTTCGTGTTGTGTTTTTTCTTTGGTTGATTACCTGAACTGAGCAAGGTTTTTGAATGGGAAATGT